GTCAAGAAGGTTTGGCAATAAACATTTGCTTTAAATTCACAAAACAGTTTTCCTTACAACACCCTGTTTTATTTAATAACTCCTTAGCATCTCAAGCTCTACTCTCTGTTCCACCTTAGTTCCAGGAAAAAAGAAAACCACAGGAAAACAGAATCAAACCGGCAACCTCCCCACCTTGATCTGTATCTGCTCTTTTATGTGAAACTTTCCACATTCGGTGTCTCTCTTGATAATTTGGCTTGTGTATGCAGGAAAGCTGTTTACTCCTCTTTCTCTTTCTTTCTTGCCACCTGTAAAAGATTAAGCGGACTCTTCTGACTGGGCTGACTGAAAAATGCAACTTGAATTGTAAATAGACTTCAGGAAAACAGTCTTTTCTTTCCAGAGTTCGAAGGAAAAATGATTTTGGCTACAACTATATAGTGGTTTCTTTCATGCAAGCGGAAAAGTTTTTGGATTCTCAGATGGAGTCCTTGAGGTTTTGCTTATGAATATATCTCCTGAGAAGTTCATTTTTTCCCAGGAGCTGACCAGGCAGCAGCTGAGCTACCGGTGGTTGCTTCATGTTGCCTTTCTCCGTATGTCCTTACCTCCCTGCTCGTCTCCTCTCTCTCCCTTACCTTGCCCGTGTTCTTTGACTCCGGTGTCAGAATTGACATCATCAAATAGTGTCGCCTTCTTATCCTCGCTTCGGAGGAGTGACACAAACTCTGGTTGTCCGTAACAAGGTAATGTATTCTGCTCCCATGGTTGCTGAAGAAGTGGCAGTGGGTGGGAGCCTTGGCAAGCGGACCTCTCTGTCTTGTCCTCTTGACTCACCAAGTATAAATACCTGTGGGATAACAAATGGACTGGAAAGCATTTTACAACCTTACTAAGTGAAAGATGGGAAAGGGCTGAAAGAAATGGCAGGCCTTTTCCTGCGCACTTCGCCTTCCTCACCACCTGGATGCACTGCACTGTAAATCAGCAAAATTCTGGACACTGGAATTACCTGTCGGAGAGGAGCTCAGCCTCATTGGAGGGATGTTTGCCCAGATCTGAATGCTCAGTCAAAATGCTCCTCCTTGTGTAAGATATAAGCCTGCTGGAGTCATATGGCTGGCAAGGTTTTCTGTTGCTGCAGACAGACATGTAAGCAGGGAAAACCCAGTAGCGTAGGCCAAGCCGAACCTGCAGCGGATGGAGCGGCTGCCAGTGTGAGACTACTCTTACAGCCGTCCCTTGCACTGCGGAAGAAATCCTGCACTAGACCCGACATGGCTGTCATCACGACGGTCGTGTTTCCCACACACCTTCACAGCTCCCCTGCTGCACTTCCAGTTCGGCTTCAGCAGAGCCGGGCTGATTCTCACCCATCCCAAACAGCCAGGGTTTGTACAAAGTATCTCGCTTTTTCACCAGCTGCGAAACCAACCGTGCGGGTTGGGGGTAACCACAGAGCAGCTCGACTAGTCAGGAGCTGCTGCTTTACAATATGCATGAAGTTTCATAAGGGGCCTGTGAAACTCCTTCTCGACAAAGAAAATGGCAGGTCTGGTTTGTGCCGGGAAGGAGGAAGAGCGCTCACCCAAGCACATACGTGTGTCAGCACGTTCCTGGCTACATCCCTACCTGAGTTTTGAACGTGTTCATTCAGGGGTGGCGGGCCGGCTTCGGAAGAGAAAGCCTGTGTGCATCCATGCTCCTGGGGTCTGAAGTGGTCTCTGCCCTTTGTGAAGGCACATTGTTTAAACTTTGCGTTTGTTTTTCTTGATGTTGACCTCATCTGTTTGCCTGTGCTAGTAAGGCAACGTCACTTACCTGTGGACCACCTATCCTTTGGAGTGTATCTCTTGTGCAGAGGAAAGTATAATTATGGGCCAGCCATGGAGGAACAGCATAACAGCTGGGAAGGGGCCCGGGGCACAGAGGAGAGGATAAAAGGAGATAGAGTTCGAGTACAATTCATTGAAGGATGAGTATGCTATGAGAAAGAAAAATACATACATATTTTTGGGAATACTGAAAGCAGAACAAGAAAAAGTTAGGGAAAAATAGGGGAAAAGTGGAAAAGCATGCATGATATACAACATGTTGAACATAAAAGTTGTGGCTTTTGCGTTTGAGTGTTTTAAAATGTTTTGGTTTGGGTTTTCTCTTACTTCAGTGCTACTGGTGTGTATTCCCATCATTCACTTTGCTCCTGATATTTCATGTTGAAAAACCAACTTACTCTGCACCTGCTGTCTTCTGTTTGGTCAGCAAAGAATTACAAAACATCTCTCTTGGTACGATGAAAGAGGAGCTCCTTCCATCTCGGTCTCCTTGTGCTCTTCACTCCTGTTCACCCTAACAGAGCTCACATGGTTTCCTGCCCCGCTCCCTAGTGAACCCCCTCCGTGCTGTGCTTGCAGTCTTTCTTTGGCCTGTCTAATGGATGTCCCCTCAGGGGAGCGTTTCCTGATGGGACGGGTGGCCCACGCCTGCCGGGAGGTGCCCCCCACCTTGCTGAGGATGAGCCACTGACAGCGGGGGTACGGCAGCCGTTCTAGGTCCTTTCTGTTGGTGTCGCTTCAAGGTCTTTGTGCCTCAGACTCACTTTGCCACTCCGGTTTTGTCTCTTTATCCATCATCCACAGATAGTCTTTGTGATGGTAGCAACCAAAGGCTGCTGGGGAGGAAACTCCTCTTCCCTGTTGTTTCCCTTCCCTCCTGCCCTTAGCCTAAAGGGAGCGGTGATTATGGGGTCATTTCAGTCCAACATAAACCCATGCTCTGGTGAAAAAGGCCCAGGTCACTGCGCCGCCGTGTGAATGTTAGGGCTGTGCAAGGGCTGGAGCGGGAGTGGGTGGCCAGGGAAGGACGAGGACCCTTTCAGCATCAGCAGGGCGTCGCATCGGTTGCCATTAACCGTTCCTTCCATCCCCGCTCTCAGGCCAAAGTGAGGCACTGCCAGTGAGAGCCAGATGCGCTCGTCCTGCCCCAAAATGCAGTGTGTGGAAGAAGGTGGCAGGCAGGAACCCATAGCCACGATTCTTTTTCAAACGTATCCCCTGTGTAGGTACAGCCTGGCTTTGGCTTCTGCGCTCACTCTCTTGCCTGCGCCGGCAACTGCGAGACTCAGCTACCTGCCTTGCATCCAGGAGCACGGTGCATGGGCCCAGCTTCTCATAGGTGCTTGGCTCACATTTCTCTGGGTTGCAGAGCAGTGCTTCCCCTTAATTATTAGGCATCGGCATTTCAGTTTGATTTTTAGAAATTATGTCTTTTTGTTTATAATAGCTTTTTTTTTTTTTTTTTTGCCTTAGTATAGCCAAGAGATAAGCAATGAGTGAAAACACAGAATTCAAATACAGATTCATGGGGCACTTGTAGGTGACCTTTGTTTTCAGATGCCCACATCCTCAAATTCTCTAGCATTATACACAGATTATGGCTCGGTTGCATGTTTTAATGGGCAGATAATTAGATGAGCAGTGAACTTTGTGGAAAGCTTTTGTGTAATCCACTGTCTATGTAAACAGATCTGTTTTGATTAAAAGGTGAGATTATTTTTTTAGACAGGGCACTTCTCCCCCTTTCACCTCCCCAAGAAAAAGCGTATCGAGGATTATGCTCTGTGATTGTTCGTGATTACTGGAAATGCTGCTTAGCTTTGACATTTGTTTAATGGCCATTTATTATCGTTTGTGCAAGGAGGTGGGGTCAATGCAAGTTATGTTGCATTCGAACTACTAAGTGCCTGAGAACTATCTTCTTGCCTTCTGTCATTACTCCTTGCATATGAAAAAAGTCTGTAATAGGAAATCTAGGCAATTCGGAGACAAGTACATGTTGTACTATGTCAAATGGAGAACTTAAACTGCTCTAATAGAGTTTCTAAATCCCTGTAGTTACTCAGCAGCTGTCAGGCTTGCAGATGAACGCTGAAATGCCTGCTAGGTTGTATGCTCCCTTGGCTGCATGCTGTCAACAAGAAGGGGGTGGGGGAGAGGACTTAAAGCAAGTAAGTTTCAACTTTCAGAAAGCACAACTTGCTAAGTTCATGTCCTGGAAGGGTTGCTGGAAAGTGGCACTGGGGATGCAGTTACATGCCGTGCATCATCGTCAGCTTTGGACTCCAGATCCAGTCCAGCTTATTGCCTATTTACACTATTTTATAGAGCTTGGAAGGGGTACAGCTCCAGCCCTTTGTTCTCCTTAAGCGCCTTATCTGTTTTATTTTTTTCAACACATTACGTCTTCAAACGTAACATTCATGTAATGCTACAAACTGATAAGAAAGCAGAGGAGGTCATTAAGGTGGGCTTTGCCTTCTTGTTGGGGGAACTGTGAAACAAAGAAGGATGCTGCTTGTTACTGTATCTTGGCTTTTATGTTTTGGTTCCAGGTGGTATCAATGTTATAAAGAGAGTGTGTCAAAGACCCATCTGTGGACAAACTTTTGCATCTTTTGCTTATATGATGTATACCCAACTTTTTAAACTGATCTCTGTGTTACTGTCTGCGCTAACCTTTAACATTTAATTGTACCAGTTGGTTGCATGAGACCTTTACATTCCCTTTGAAAAGCGTTTCCCACTACTTATTGTTTATAAGATAGTTTGATTATACATAGTTGTATATTACTATCATCTATATCTAAATTTCATACATGAAATACCCATGTGTGTCTGGTACAGTGTATTTGTAATAGTAGTGATCTCAACTCTTCTTCGATGTCTCAGCATTTTGCGTTCTGTGATAAAAGTGATTTATTAAAAGTGACTTCAAGAAACTGCCAAGAAAGTGAGTGTATTTTGGAAAAGAAAGCATTTGGTTACAGATTTTTAATCATCTTGTTAATTGGGTTCTGTGGTGTTCTGATCTTTTCAGCTGTAAGTTATTGGTCTGGGTCACAGGTAAGAGAAACAGATGTTGGGACGCTTGATCAGAAGCCATGCTCATGGGTCCGGGTGCTGGTAGTTGTGAATTAGCAGAGAGCATCCCACTGAAAGTTTCTCTCTGTTTGCTTGCAGACAGCCAGTCTGATGCAGAGACACTAGCTACAGGAAACGAAGTCTTGGACCTGACCTCCTGTGAGAAGGAACAGCGAGAGGGAGTAACAGAGCTACTGGAGAGTGAGTGCGGCCCCAAGGAGGAGCAAAAGGCTGACTCCCCTCTGGCAGAAGAGGATGCCGAAGAAAGAGCAGATGGATATGAAGAGGGCCCTGAGGAAGATTCTGTAAGTAACAAAAGTCTTGACCTCAATTTTGCCAGCAAATTAATGGACTTCAAGCTGGCAGAGAGTGACCAGAGTGCAGGCAGGAGTTCTCAGACTGAAAGGAAACATGCCTGTGACATTTGTGGCAAAACCTTCAAGTTTGCTGGCACTCTTAGCCGTCACAAAAAGGCCCACACTCGTGAGGACAGAAAGGATGAAAGGAGCAGTGAGGATGAAAGCAAAGGCATTCAGGATGATGCAGGAGCTCCCTCGATGCAGGACTCTGGTCTTGAGCAGGAAGAGTCTCCGATGGACTTGAAGGTAGTGGAGTCTCCTGTGGACTGTGAGGCAACAGGAAAGGAGAATGAAGAGAGCGAAAGCGTCTCTGAGGGGGAAGGCACAGAGAGAAAGTCCACTGAGAAGAGCAGTGATGACAAAAAACCAAAGACTGATGGGGCTAAGAGTACTGCAAAAGCAGACAAAAGAAAGAAAGTCTGTACTGTGTGCAACAAGCGTTTCTGGTCTCTGCAAGATCTGACGCGGCATATGCGGTCTCATACAGGTAAGAGGAGACTTGAGGGCAGAACAGATTACAAGCAGGTCTGCCACCAGACTGAGGCATCTGCTCTGCATGATTGCTGCTAGCACTTGAGGTTGGAGACACTGCTTTTAGTACTACAGGTATCTGCAAGGTGTCTTCTCTGCCCCAATCCCCCATGCTGCATACAAAGCCTGTTGAGGGAGCGGGAGTTGTCAGCACTGCCTTATCTTCAATTCCCAAACTGTTTTTCCCCATGCTTGCTTGCAGAGTTTAGAGGTGAGGGCAAGTATGGAGATTCCTGGGCAGTTGTTCTGTCCAGCTTCTGACTCCCTTCTTGTCATGTGTGTGTGGCTCTAGCTCTTCCTGGTATTCTGATGAGCAGTGGAGAAACCTGGCAGTATATGATAAGACTTCATCTCTGAGTGAAAGTTTAGAGAGAGAGAGTCTGGTTTTGTCTGATTATCAAAGCCTGGTACGGGTAATGTGCTGGTGATCTGTATGACCTGCTGCTTGAGTGAAAGGCAAAGCTACAGTGGGCACCCTGTTCTTCATTCAGGCTTGGGCAGGGAAGGTGGAACACAGGTTGTAAAACGCTTGTCCAATGACTTGACTCAGTTAAAATATGTGGGATCGCTTTATGCTATACACCGTTTGCAGCAGCACCATGCAAAGGAGATGAAGCCATGAGCCAGCTCAAAGGTGAATTAATAATTCATCCTTATTAATGCATCCTTATTAATGATGCATTTTACCTGTCAGCAAGTTGCTCTGACATGGGAAGACTGGTGCAGTTTGACATTTTGTGTCTTTTGAAGGTGCTCTCTGCTGAAGACAAGATCTTTGTGATTTACAAAATATTTGTGCTGTAATTGATGGTGATGTTTAATAAACTACACCAAAGACAGGTGCCTTAACCAAACTTCTGAATCATAAATATTGACCTCTTGACTGCAAAACTGACCCGTTTTCTTCTGGCACTGAGCCACAAGTGAAACAGGGGATGGCTCCCATTCTTGTGCCTATTTTCATACTAAATTCAGAAGTCTTGGAAAGATGCTAATATCTAAAGTACTGAGCTTTACCCCCAAATGATACACTGGTGTGTGCCCATGGCGATTCCCACACCGTATGTTTTAGTTGTTTTCATTGCACGCTGAGCTATGCAGGTCTAGTCAGTACTTTTTTTTTCCTGTTTGTTTCTCTATTTGACACTGGAGGATGTTTTAACATAGAATAGGTGTTGAATAGGAACCTGGGTCAGTGCTTTCTTCAAGTTTAATAAACGTAGATACCACCTACCCTCACTGTTAAATCAACGCGTTTTCAGCTGAGGATTCTGCCTCAATACGTGGGTTGACTCTCTTCCTCCTTTTCCCCTTCCTGCTTATTCAGCTGTATTGACAAAATACAGGTTGTCAGGTTGTAACATTGCTTATACTTTGGTTTTAATGGGTGGGGTTTTTTAAAGATAACTGTAAGGTTTTGGAATTTCTTTACTCAGAAGAGGAATGTTTGGGACATGCTGAAGTGTGCAAGAAACCTCTGCCTGCCTACTGAATGGCAATCAGGCTGGAAATGTTTTGTTCTCCCAGTGCAGGATGCTTCCCAGCAAATAAGTTGCAGGGTGCTCTGGTGCCGCCTGCCCAAGCGCAGGGTGAGCCACGCCGCTGCGTTGGCCACAGCCAAGTGCCGGATGGGCAAAGGCTGTCATCCGAAAATGCTCCCAGGGAGCCGTGCCCTCCCTTGATAGCAGATGCCTGAGCAGGGCACCGGAGAGAAACGTTTCTAAGAAGCGTCAGGCTTCCCAGGGATAGCAGGACCTACTTGCACGTTTCAGCCAGCCACCTCAAGTTTGTATTTGGTTTTCTTTTAGTCATCCCAAGCATTATTACAACTGAGAAATGAGCTGCAAGTGTCTTGTTCTGTATGCTCATTGGCACAAGATGGTGTCTTGATGGAATTGCAGCACTGAAAAATCTTTAATAGGTGCAATCAGAAACAGAGAATGAAGCGAAGCGGCCAGAGTGGGACCTTCAGTTCTTCAGGGCAGACAGCACCTTGAGGCACTGTGCTTCGTTGGGACTTTGGGGGAATTTTGTCTGTTGGGCTGTGGTTGCTTTGTTTTCTGATGAGCTCATGCTTAGGAAAGTATTCAAGCATTTCAGGTGCAAAAACCAGCTCTGAGATCGGAGCAGACTAGCTGTTGATTACAGCAGAGGATGCCTGCAGCTGCTCTGTGGCTTAAGATCGCAAAATAAGAGGAAGAATTTTGTCCTCTGAGTAGCATTTCTGGAATGGGCATGAAGAGGTTTTTCAGGGGCTTTCACATGTCACTCCTGTCCTAAAGCACCAGTGGGCTGAGGAACACCAGCAGCTCTGTAAATAACATCCCGAGGCAGGCATTTTTCACTCGGTCAGTAAATTTTGATCACCTCTAACAGACACCTCCTGTGTCCCATGAATGCCCGACAAGTCTTGATCCTTTAGCTGCTCTGTGTCCGTTTTGAAACGTGGTGATACTGTCTTCTGCTTCACAGAAAGAGGAGGGGCTGTTGTGGTAAGGGTGATTCCCGACAGCTTCTCTTCGACTTCAGTGATTAACTTGGGCATTTCATGCTTGCCCTTCTGTCAGCATCTAAGAGAGAGGGAGATGTTTTCTCACGTGCTGTTCAGTTCAGTTCTTGAGCGCTGTTGACCATAGTTACCTGGGCAGTATCCTCATCCTTCCCTCTTAAGTCCTCTCTCTCTGCATGTATCAGGGGCTGACCTGCAGCAGGGAGCCCCCATGGTGGGCTGGTTTCACAAAGGCTTTTGAGCTCCAGAGGATGACTGCAAACTTCTTCCAGAAAAGTTGCTGACTAAATTAGACGGGATGCTAACGAGCAGCTGGGGCTTATGGTCTTCCTCCCTCCTTAGTGCAGGGCCACACCAAGCTTGTAGAAATCTCAAGACACTTCGTTTTCATTTTTCATTTGTGCCCCAAGGGATTTATCTGTATTCCTGCTTGCATGCCATCAGCTAGTTTACTAGTACAGAAGCAAAAAATCTGCATAAAGGCAAACATGCAAAATCCATGTTTGATATAGGTACTGAATTTCCAAAGCAGCGTCTTACGCTGCTTGAAACAAGAGGGAGGTGCGTTTGTGACCTTACGGCTGACTTTGTATTTTAATTCTCTTCCAGGTGAGAGACCGTACAAGTGTCAAACCTGTGAACGGACCTTCACTCTGAAACACAGCCTGGTTCGTCACCAGCGCATACACCAGAAAGTCAAAAATGCCCGAAACCATGGGAAGGAGAGCGACAAGGAGGAGACACAGTCGAGGTGTGGAGAAGACAGCGAAAATGAGTCTAGCCACAGTGGCACCAACCCCATCTCAGAAAATGAGTGCGACTCCGCGGGGGGCGTCGGTAGCCATACGTCACTCATGGGAAGCCGAAAAGAGTCCCTGGCTGGCACGGCCAAGGACTCCCCCTGCAGAGAGGAGAGGCCGAGCGGGCGAGGAGCCGGCAGCTGCCTCGCGGAGCCCAGCAAGAGTGCACAGAAACAGACAGCAAAAGACCAGGAACCTCGGGGTAGCTCCGAGCACGAGAGGCCCTCAGGTTTCATTCAAGACTTGCTGGAGATGCACAACAAAAAGTCTCCCATGAATCACATCCTTGCCTCTGCAGACAGTGCGCCTCAGCTCTTGGGGGTTGAATGACTTGCTAGAAGGTTGGACCCGTCCCAGCACGCAAACTGAAGCCAGCAGAGCAAGGTTTCTGAAGTCTTTGTTTTTGGAAGAGCGACCTACAGCTGCGGGGAGGAGAGTATGGCAGACTGGATGCGGTGCCATATGCCTTTCAGTATAATAATGCAAGAGACTACAGTATATACTGATTTGAGTGCCTTACTACTTTATTAGATCTTTTGGTATCATAGATTTTTTTCAAAAATGATTTTTTTTTTAATATTTTAATGAATTATTTGGAGAGGACCTTTTTCATTTAAGCATTAATGTTACCTTTTGTATTGGTGTGCGTGAGCTTGTTCTTGTATATCTGTGATAGTCGCTGTGTTTGTTCTCTGAGCTGGAAATGGGGGCAGTGGGGTGGGAGGCCCTTGGATACCACAGCCAATAACTGGAAGAAAAATTATGTGAATTTCATATGAAATAGTCAGAGGAAATGCAGATGAGATGTTGATTTATTGTTTTTTCTCAGTAGATGTTCTTGCATTGGCCACATGGTGGAGCATTAAGCCTGTTCCAGGCCTGAACAACGTGGCAGTTGAAGGTGTTCAAAGTGGTTCAAGCCAAAAGCAGGAAACACAACGAATTTCAACCTCACGCTTGTTTCCACTTTTCGGCATTAGAAATGGTCTTCTAAATCCTAGGGGTTTTTTCTGGCCATCGTGGACTGAGCGTGTATACAGAGAAGAGTTACATAGCAACGTAACCTATGGAAATTATGCACCCGCTGTTATATATGTTTGATTTGCTTCAGTATATTATTATT